GGTATGTCATGTCTTCACTTCAAAGTATCTTCTCATTTCCCTTTCACCACTAACAGTTACTTAGGAGCGTATAGTATGACTTCCATGTATTCCCAACTTCCCTTCTTTTTAGTTCCTTATAATTGGAGCATATATTTTGCACTATTTCAATTCTTTTAAACCTGTTGAGGCTTCTCTTATGGCATAGCTCTCAGTCTCCCGGGACACATTCCATGTACGCTTGAGAATGCACCCTCTGCTGTTAAGGCAGTGTTTTCTACATGTCTGTTATGTCTAGTTGGTTTAGTGTTGCTCAAGTCCATTTCCCTGATCTTTTGCCTAGCTGTCCTATCAACTGACAATGGGCTGTTGCAATGTCCAATGGTCCATATTTCTTCCTTTCACTATGTCAGTTTCTACCTTATGTAATTGAGGGTTGCTTACCATTGTTTAGCCTCGGTCATCTTATAACATGTCCCCTTTAACTCTAGTAACATTTTTTGTTTTCAAGTCTATTTTGTCTGTTAGTATAGTTATTCAAACTTTGCAAGTTTGCACGAAAGCTTCCTTCATTCTTTTACTATCAACCCTTTTGTATTTTGGAATCCACAGCATCCCCTGTACAAAGCATGAAGTTGGACTGCTTTTTACTCATTCTGGTCTTTTGTGGGACTATTAATCTACTCACACTTAATGTTATTGGATTTATGCCTGCCATTGTACTTTTTTCAACATCATGTCTTTTGTTTCTCTATTCCTCCTTTACTACTATTCTTTGCATTAATAGTTTCTAGTGTAACGTTTTATAAAAAAGATTTTATCTAGAGAGAGGGAAAGGGAAGGAGAAAGAGAGGGACAGAAGCATCAATGTGTAGCCAACCAGGGACCTGGCCCACATCCCAGGCATGAGGCCTGACTGGGAAATGAACTAGCTCTGGTTTGCAGGCGGGTGCTCCACCCACTGAGCCACACCAGCCAGGGCTCTAGTGTAACATTTTAATTTCTTTATAATTTGCACACTCAATTTAATAAAATATAATTGAAAAAGTAGATCTGTATACCTTAATTGTTTCCAATGTACTCAAGTTTTCCCATAATGGGATAAAATCCTCAAAAACCACTACAATCTTTTTTGGATCCATATCCAGAACTTTTCTTTTGTTCAGATGAATCTGTTTAACTTTATAACAAAAACTTACCTATTTTTCTCCAAATTAAGAACTTTCCTATCCAAGAACTGATTCTTGGATTTCCTAACCCAAGAACTAGATTAACATCAAATTCAAAGAGGCACTTACATAATTTGAAAGGCAACTCTAAACTTATCAAGTGCTCTTAAAACTTTTCTTGTACACTTTATAGTCAATTTATAAAATGCTGTAAGTTAAAATCTGTTAGAAAATGTGTACAAGTCAGTATTCATGATGAAGTTTTAACATAAATTCTCCTGTCTGTGAAAGTGACAAATAAGCATTTCCATTCTTTGGAGCTTCGATTTCAGTTCCTGCGCAGTGTGAGAGCAGTGAGAAAACGTGTCGCCCACTGACAGGTTTTGCTTTTGATTACTGTACTCGGCAAGCATTCCTTTTGTTTCAAGATCATCTTAAGTTGGAATCGTGAACAAAGAGGGCCACGTAGTAAACCTGTGAAGCTCAGGAGAGGCCTGTGTGGCGACCCTATAAACTCAGATACCAAAGGTAACCACACTCAGTGGCCTGCACATAAGAATGTCTAAAAGCAGGCGGCAGTCATGCCTCAGACGGCAGCTTCCTTGACAAAGGTCAACGCTCACCTGAAGTGAGCCTACCGTCCTTCCGCATCAAAGGTAACACTCCTTTTGGATGTCAAGAGACCTCCTTCCCAGACCCCCATTGTTGTCTGCTCCCTGGACATTGTCACCACGTGCTGTAAACGTGACCACTCTGCACCCACACATGTATGTGCTTCTCTTTTTTACCTTTTACCCAATTCTGGAGAGTTTCCCACTTGGCTCTCTCCTGCCTCCTTAACCCACCGGCAATGGATTTCATGAACCCAACCTTGGGTTTCCTCTGTTTCTAAGGGATAAAACAAGCAGCAAAACGGCTATTCTTGGGAGTCGTTTCTCAATCCATGGAGATTTTGCTTTCTGGTAACTGCCATCAGTTTGGCTCAAATAAACAAAAATTCTCTAAAGGTTTGGATGTTCTACAGGACAGTAAGCCAGGGCTAAAGTTCCCTCATACTTCAACCAGAGAGCATTAGTGCAAAGGACAAAATCGTCCAACTTGTCTTGCACTTCTGTTATTCTGAGCAATTTCCACAAACTGGTGCTAGTTCTTGATGTAAACACACACACTGAACCATGTTAACAACTGTGACACTTTTCAAAGAGTCTGTTCCAGAAAATTGAGTGCTACTATTTTCAATAAGCATCATAAGGTTTTTAAAAAAGGGTTAGGGTATCAGCTCACCTAAACCTAGCAAGTACTTTCAACTGTTAGCTTCACTGAAGAAATTTAGTCTTTTCCTTTTAATTTTTTTAACAAAATCCCCATAATACTCAAAAAGAAAGCATCTCTATGAATTTTTTTTCTTGTACAAGCCAATACAAGGCAAATATGCAAGCTCAATAGGCTGTTATAAATTGTTTAAAAGCTTTGTTGGACATTTCAGGTAATTAATTTGATCTATTCTCTTGAGGAAACATTCATTTTTTTTCTCTTGCTCTGGTGCAGCAAATTGCAACGGTCACTCCCCATGAAATCTGTAACACAGCCACTTCCAGTCCTTTCCAGTTGTGGTACTAGCGCAGTTCTGCATCAGAGCAGAATTTCAATTCAGATCTTTGTCTATACCTATCTTACATAGGTATGGTTAACTGATGCCGCTTGCACAAAATATTCAGCTAACACATTATAATGCTACTTTGGTAAGTTAAGACATTGTTACAGAGTGGAATCAAACTATCTGACACCAGCTGGTGACGTTTATGTGGAACACAAGCAACACACTAGTTCCACAATGCAACACACAGAGCAAAATGTGGTCCTATCAGAATGCTTCACTAAACAGAAAAGCATTCCACAGTTCCAGTCACACTAGCCCTATTTCAAGCACCCGAAATCCACTGGTGGTGAAGGGCTACCACACCAAACACCAGGGTCCAACCCGCTGCAGGAGGGGAACCTGACTGGTCTGGAATTCTTGGGTCTTCCCCCTGTGCTGTGTGTTGCTTTATTGAAAACTACCTCGTCATGCCTAGTCTTATCTAGCAACCTCTGAAGGGCAGTCTTTGTACACTTACATCACTTTCAAGAATATAAAAGAGTCTATAGGACACAGTCTACAAAAAATTAAATTAGCATCAAATACTGCCTTTTACTGTTTTCTGGATTACTCAACTGTTTGGTAGAGGCACACTGGATCTGTTTTGCAGACTAAAATCTGAATGGAAAACAAGAAATAAAATTAAAACGCACCTTGAGAAACAAAATCCTTTCACCAAATGTTTTCGTCAGCTCAGCAAAGGAAAGGTGAAAGCCTTACTGGCAGAGACATGAAACGTTGAGCCAGTCCGCCCGACTGGGGCAGTGCTCACGTTCCTGCTGATTCTATTTCCTAAGCATTTCCAATGCCCTTCCTTTCTACTGACTGCCCTGCAAGCTGCCCTCAGCTTGTCTTCTCTCAATGGAAACGCGCCAGAATCCAGCTGGCTGGTCTTATTCTTCTAATCTATGGTCCGCAGTACTGCTGCAGAGAGACTGAGACCTTTCTAGAAGGCACAGCTGGTAATGCTACTTACATTTCAAACACAGTGTGGCTCTTTACTGCCCCCTACAGGATGCAGTTCCAACTCCAGCACGTGGTTCAAGGTTCAAAGCCCAGTGTTCCAGCCACTCTGGTGACTCCCCCCCCCCCAGAAAACCACACCATTCACAGGGGCACATGTTTCCTATATGCCTCCCTTGCACCACTGCCGGAGAGTGGGCCACCTGCACCAGCGTGAATATTAAACAGGAAGCAAGTCCTGAGTTTTGCAGATTTCTTCTATCCGGCTTTGGTCACACCACCCTATCTGTTTTCAGTGCATTTCACGGGCCAGGCTTTCAAGAGTCAGGTCAACTGTGGATACGAAGAGCACCAGTGGGACTGCCCTGAAGGGGAGACACAGCAGTCAGCTGGGCCGAGGGCTGGTGGGGAGATGCCACCGACGGAGGCGGCCGCTCTCCCCACGCTGGAGGGCTCAGGCGCCGGAGGCAAGGCCGCGCACCACGGTCCTCGTGGCAGGCCCACAATAATTTCATGTGCTTTTGAGATTAGAATGACGTTAAGTTTGCAGTTCAAAGAAAATGAGGAAACTGATATCTCCTTATGAATCTGATAAAAAAGGTAAAGGTTGCTAAGGAAATCGCAGAAACCGGTCTTCAAGACACCTTGCAATCCAGCGGTCTCCCCGATTCCCAGCTTTCGACTGGTCAGTTAGACTCATCTGGGGTACAATTTACGCAGAACATGTTGTATTTTATTATGTGGAGGAAGTTAACTTACAGGAATATTCCTCAAATTCTTGTGAAATTCTAGATTCTTGTAATATATAACTTGGATATACTAATGTGGTCCTTACAGTATGTGTGAATTATTTTTAAAATCATTTTAGATTTGAATACCTAAATACTACTCCAAAAAGAGAATTCTCAGTATATAAAACATCAGTACCTAAAATCTGAAAACTTTGTTCTAATTCTAATATATTCCAGTTAATGTTTCCCTAGGTATTTGCTCCTCTAAAGAACGTTAACTAGGAATTTAAGTAATATTTCATCAATTTAAAATGTATTTTTTGACAGTTATAAGGTAGAACAAGGCTTCTGTTACAGAGGTAAAATTATATATTAAGGTACAGGTAGAAAATGCCTACTTTAAAAACTGGACATGTCAGCAAACATTAATTTTATCTAAATTGTCTTCTGATTTGAAATAAGTTTTCCAGCCTCTACATAAAAATTTACATTTATTTGTTATAGAAGTAATTTCTATAAAGCAAATGGAGATAATAATATCCTGAAGAGTTGAGAAGTCACATATTTTAAAAGTTTATATACAATAAAACACACATGTAACAAGTAAAACATTTAATGTATTAGTATAATCCCACCAACACAATGTTCGCTACTATATTTAAAAGCATTTATTTAAAATGTCAACCTCCTTCCGAAAGATGGAAGACTTACGAGCTCATTATGAGGTATATGGTAACGACAACAATCCTAAATGCAGAAGGACCATCAGTTGCCTAAATATAAAGCTGAACTTTGGCAAAGATATAGATGTTAACACAGAATAACACAGCCATTAAGGAAATCTTTATGTTTATACCATTTCTACAATGTTATGGCCTGACCCAAACCACTCTTCCCTTTCAAAGGGTGAGTTGTAACCCTGTCCCAGATGACTTAGCATTTTAAGTATGTGGTCTGCTGATTAACATTTCTTTTTCTCAAATCTCAGTATTACAGCTATATAAATTACACTTAAAATATTTGAAACAGATATTGAATTTATTGGTCGGCTATGAGTAGGAAAATACATCGGTAAAGAAAAGAGACCCTGTATATAAATATAATACTAGCTAGTTACAATTTGACCAAGAAGGTTCCGCTGAAAAGAACAGTAAAAGCCCTTGTCACCTCTGGTCCATAGGTACATACTCAGTCTCCCATCACCCTTATCAAAGAGCTGCCTAGGCAAATGCGACATTCTCTGAGCTTTAGTGCAGATAATGTGCTGGGTTTCGTTACATGAATGGTAAACAAAAATTAGTCCAGTGCATTACACAACATAATGTACTGTGAATAAAAACTAGATACTACTTCAACACACTGGTTATTAAAATTTATGTAACCAACGAGAAGAGGAAAGTGAACATCCTGAAATACCGTTTAGGGTGGGAGAAACACTTGCTAAAGGTGTGCTTTGAGAACCATTTGCAGCCTTTGTTCTGGGCACTCTGACCGGTCCACTGAGAGAACAAGCTGCTGCTATGGCCTTGCCTCGGGTGGCTTTGTCCTTACACGACATGACCCCAAACCTTAAAAATCACTATGGAAACAAATTCCATGAGTTTAAATAGTAAAAAAAAAAAAAAAAAAAAAAAAAGGAATACTAAAGCTGAAATTTATTAGTGAAAACCTGCATATCAGAAGAGCTTTGAAATTTTAATTTCAACATTTAGAAGTGCATTCACCCTATTATTAATGTCCTCAGGTTTCAAAGTGCTAACTCAAGTTTTCCTGGCTGTCACCAAATCAGGTAAAAATAAAACTATACAGTTCTTGGACATGTTCCTTGCCTATCTTCTAGGATGATTCAAGTTGCAACCAACATTTTATATCTACATCTTTAGTTTAAATTATGCCACAAATTAATTTTTATGAGCATAATTTAAATCCTCAAAGTATAAATAATTACCACTAACAGGGTAAACTGTACTTCAAGAGATTTACAGCAAGGAACTGAGTGCCTCTGAATTTCTGATCATTAAAACAGAAAACACAGTCTAAGTTTTCTGTAAAACATTCGTAAGATGGATTTATCCAGCAAGAACAATGAAATTACAGTATGGCAACACCACATTAAGTGTATTTGTTACAGAATCTTTGAAAAAAATCTATACTGTGACAACGTACTAGCTTTTCATTGCATTTTTAGGGCGTATAGATTATTGGAAATTATTCAGGACATAGAAATATTTAAAACACAAAACTTTGTTTAACAAAAGTATCACAATCTATTTTGGTGTTATTGTTTATTCCCTACAGACCCAAAATATTTCTTTCTCTTTTGAAGGTTACAGTTGTAAATCTACACTCTCGGTTCAATTCATCACTATCTCGGGAAGGTGGAGAAGCTGCTCAAAGGGACCCACACGACACAGTGGGCCCCCAAGAGGCAAGAACAAATATTTTCGAGACATAACAGGCCGTTGTGTCTTACCATCCTGCCCCCCAATTAGAATATAGTGAAGACGATAACAAATACAGATGAAAACATTGTCCGTAAAGCTCAAACCTTTAGCATCTAACAAGTGCACTCTAGTTCCAGCATCTATGAAAAGAACACATCCTCCGCGAACAAACACAGAATGACTAAGTGCCGCTCCCGCCCCTTCCATGAAGCTCTCTGACCTGGTGCCCACAGCGCAGATCAGAGGACACGCAGTTAGTTCCTTTGTCTTCTCAGTCCGACCAGCTCCAGCTCCAGCTCGCCCTTGCTGGACGTTGTCATGATGCACATTACAACACAGTGTTTAGGAAAAATGAGTAAACACACCTTTATTCACACTTTATAAAAAATAAAACAAAAAAACCCATTAAAAGTTATGCATTGGTTTTACATCAATAATACCAACTATTCAATGTACTGATTATAAACTGGACATGTTTGGTGTCAGCACAACTTAAGCAAAAAGCAAAAAGCAAAAAAATCCATCACAACAAAATCTTTAAAAAATCTTAAAGAAGAAACCAGGTCCCAAAGATTCAAGATCAACAGTTTTAGGAGAAATTTTTTTTAAAGAAAAAAATTTTTTTTCATTCATTTAAGCAGTATGTAAATTTTATTTTCTCTTAAAAACAGAATAAGCACATTTAAGTGCTGAACATTTTTTCATAAAATTTTAAGTCATTATCCAAAATGACTCATTCCTTTGTAAAAATCGATCATTAACTACGATTTCCCCTCGGGCTCACCCCGTGTCCTGCTGCTGCTCCCTTGCCTGCAGCTGAAACAAAAGCAGGCGCAACAACTTCCCTCTGAATTCATTTGATTTTTGAGACAAAAGTAAATGAATGCGACCAGAATATATACAAGTTAACTTTGCAAAAGTAGAGCTGGCTGCAATTTCTCATCTACTAATGGCACTATGGGCAAACACACAGGGTACAATGTAACTTTCATCTTGGTTGACGTATTAAAATGACTGTCACTTAAAAAATGATCTGAAGAACTGTCTTAAGGACCTGTTTTGAAAATACATCTCATTTATACTGCTTCAAAAATGGAAAATTATTTAAGAAAAAAAGAGGAATGATTAAAAAACGAAACATGGAGACCCAGGGACCACACGGACAACAGGAGAATCACATGATAGCGGCGTTCCGGGGACGGCACTGTGCGGTGACACCGAGACGCAGCGCGTGGGTCTGGGGAGCACAGGCCCAGGGGTTCACCACCCCGCGAACAGGTTCCGAAATGTGATTTCAATGCTTCTCAACGGGAAGAAAGTCACAGCTCGTACAAAAGCGTTTTCATAAAACTCTCACGAATGTTCGACAGCATCTACAAACTGTAAAAGAGGACGCACAGACCCCCTCTGCGTGCACAGGCAATGTTCGGCGAGGACAGTTCAGGCAGGCACGGTGGAGATAGACAGGAGGTGTCTCAGAAAGCAGTTAAAAAGCTGTACCTAAGCAGCTGTAATTTTTTAACTTAAAAAAGTTAAAAGTTTAAAAATATCAGAATGTACAAATATCAACCATTACATTCAGTCCATAAATGCCTACAGATCATCACTGCTCAGCTCATCTGTCCTGGTAGATAGTTTTTGTAAAAACCCAGGAATTCACAAATAAGGTTACCTCTGGTCCGAAAAAATGTCCTAAGCTTTAAACAGTTTTAAAAAGCAATGTTCTCCATTTAAAAACAAAGTAGTACAAAAGGGCCAAGAAAACCCTAACAGTGCAAATCATCAGCAGAGAAAGTCTGTTGCAACTTCTTTTACAAGCTGGCCTTTAAAATACATGAAACAGGTAAAAAACAAAAAACAGAAACAAAAACAAAAAAAAAACACCTTAGCCTTAGTTTACAATACAATCATTTCCAAATCTGATTTTTTAGTACAAAATTTCATAAATCAGGTCTTCTGTGGATCATATACAATCATAAAGGCTAAATTCAAATTCTGTTATTTTACAAACACGTCTGAAAAAGGAGGGAGTAAAGTATGGAACGATTGGTCTCTGGATGTTATTACTGGCCTCAAAAAAGCAGTGCTACAGATTTCTGTGCAAAGAGAATACGCTGTTCACACATTTTCCTATTTCAAGGCATGAAAATATTATTTTGGATAGAAGAAACAGGAAAACCACTTGTAACAAATTAAAGACAGGCGCGAACATGCCGATCCCTGTCTGACAGTATATAAAGCATACTGGGCTCAGAATTTGTCCACTGCTAGCACCTGGCTTTCATACTACATCCTTATGAAATAATCAGACTGAGAACTCAAATCATCATCAAGAAAAAAAAATCCCTAGTGGCCATACCTCACTCCCCTATATTCAGATTTTATATAAGTTTACAAGTGAAATTGAGGTCATCTTCTGAAGGTACTTGACTACCTCCTGCTGGGAAGGTGAATGCCGTTAACTTGGGGCAGGAAAGGCAGTAAGAGCTCCAGTTGTGCAAAAAGTGAGAAGTGGTCGGAGGGGATGAGTGGGTGCGGGCAGCCGCTGATATTATTTTCAACTAGCCAATGGTGGTCCAGAGGTCCCAGGATGCCTAATGTGTTCAGCTGAGGCTTAGAATAGAAGATGTAGTCAATTATACCCTGAAAATCAGAAGGAAATAAAAGACAAGATTCCACATAAGACAATTCCAAAATACTCAAGGCTCTTAAAACATACCCTTACAATCATGTTTGGTAAACAAAGAAACTCAGGAGTGTGCGGGAACAGGCAGTACTACGTTGCCTAACACAAATGGTCCCCCAATTGTCAAATCCCACAGAATGCAGACAGTTTAGGCATGGCAATCGCATACTCTTCCTCCTATCTGGATCCTTCCAGAATTTTTCATGAGACCTAAAGGATCTTTCATGATATGGTCTATGCTTCTTTTTGCTCACTACCCTTTCTGGGGGGTGAGGGCGGGGGAGGGGCTATGAACTGGGGCACATTCTTCACATGTGCCAGTCTCCTTCCTGCCCAGGGCTTTCATACATGCTGCACTCCTGCGTCAAACACTTTTTCTATTTGTCACCCGGTTAATTCCTTCTCAACCTTCAAGTGCCAAGCTCAATCACTTTCCAAAGACCTTCATCACCCACTTAATACCTCCCACCACCTCCAATTCTCTTCCCTTGCCCATGTGCACCCACTGCACATTCGTTTATGTGGCCAAGATTAGGCTGTCCCTGCCCTACGTGTCCTCAGCGGCACCTGGCAAACACAGCCCAGCACCTCGTGGTCTGCCCTGTCCTCCCTGTAACTCGCCTCTCTGCTCTATGTTCTTGGCCGAAAGTATGCAACCACATTTAAATGTCCCCTTTCTATGTCTACACATAAACAGGAAAAAGAGGGGAAAATCCCCAATGTCTCCCGCCTTTTGGTTATCACCCTTACCTCTTTAAGAACCTCCAAGTTGGTTGGTAGTACCTCATCAACCATGCACGCTACTCTTTCCACCCAGCTCTCCAGGAAAACCGCTCTCACCCACATCTTCCTGAAGCTTCCTCCTCACTCCTCTTTCCAAGAAAAGGCCTTATTTCCTTGGCAGTTAAGCTCCTACAGTCCTGGTTTTGCTCCTCTCTGGTTATTGTCATTTACATGTCAGCTTTCCTGGGTCTACTCCAGCCTCTCTTCAACTTGACACACTCATCTGTTCCCAGGATTCAATCATTAGAGTACTGGGGATCCCCCAAAGTCAAATTAAAAAACCATCAATTTTCAAAAAATTTTAACAAGTCTAAAAGGCTCTCACTGCTGAAATTAAAAACCAGTCAACACTAGTTGTCTGCAGTCTAGCAGACGATCTAACTTGAATGATTCTAGTTCCAGCAGGTTAGAGGTGGAAAAAGTAGGATTGAAGAAAGCAGAAATGCAAAAGTGGCTAAAAAAGACAATTGAACATAAGCCCTTAAATAACTGCTGATACCAAAAATGAGAAGACTCACTAATGAAAGGCTCACACTGTGGGCTGTTAACTGTAAGGCCTATAAATATATTCTAGCAACTTGAAATGGCCAATAAACCAAATTTTCTCACTTAAGGAGTAGCTTCCAGGTAAATTAACATTAGGGACTGAATACATCTCCCTAACTGACACCAACTTAGATACAGTAAGTCCACACTTGACAGCTTGAAACAAAATGATATACAATGAAACCAATGTTAATACAGGCTAGTTGATATAAACAGCTAAGTTCCCGTGGCACCATCAACACTGTAGTGAAATGACGTTGAGAGAACAAACGTTCTCTGGGACCTGCTGTACGGTGGCCCTGCAAACCCAGCCGCCAGTACTGAGTCTATGAGAAACATAATTACCCCCAAAAGGTGAGACAGTTAACTCAGGACTTCCTATGATTATTTCATCTGATTTCTTACCCTGGAAATGATTCCAACACATACGAACTCAATATGGCCTAATGTGAACACATACTCATATTTTAAAGACATGACAAAGTAGCAAGATTCTCCTTAAAAAAACAACAAAAAAAACAACAGAAGTTTAAAAGTTCATTGATGTCAAAAAGCTCACCTTAAAATCAAACGTGTAGTTTGTGTAAGGCATCAGGCCACTCTCGTAGGCACTCTTTAACTTAAAACCATGCGTGATCCTTCCATTAGTTGTCCCATTTTTCCCATTACAGCTGAAGTTTGTAAGACTTTCGTTATATCTCAGTTCCTTAAAGTCCTTATGATTCGTTTCTACTCCACCAGTGCTCAAATACTCCACAACACCTGGAAGGAAGATAAAGGGACTTTTCCATTGTCAAGTATGACACCGTACAAAGTTATACTTTCTACAAAACATAACTATGCATAAAATATGCCCACTTTCTAAAATGGCTTTATACGTTTGCCAGACTTGCCTAAATCTATTTTACACGGTTTTAATAACAGTATACTGAACATTTTATGTTTTGCTTTACTGTTTCGCATGAACTTTTATGTCCTCTCAATGACCTTTTTGAAATGGTCGCACAATACCACAGGCAGGGCTGGTGTATAACATTTGTTAAACTAGTTTCTCATTTTCTTAAAACAACAACAACAAAAACACCTCCGGCTATTTCTACTTTTTAAAAAGAGTTAATACCACAATCAACATCTTAATATGTAGATTTCTACTTATGCTAAATTATTTGCTTGGTATATCCCAAGATTAGTACTCACGGAATCATTATATAAAGGCAACTACGGAAGAGAATGCCAGTTGGTAACAGAGCAAGTTCGCCAACAATGAGCACCATTTCCCCAATTTCCTAAACACAACCATCCATGGAAAAACATGCAGGAATAAAGCTTTCTCTATTCTTCTACTTTGTGATAAAAATAAAATCTTTTTTTTTTTTAAATCACTTGCCTGATCTATATAAATGAAGGATTTTAATTTCCACCTTAGGTGGATTTTTCTAATGAAGACCACCCAAATCTGAAATTCTGTAACTGGATAGCACTCGTTGGAATACCAAAGAAGCGGGCTCAGAGCCCCTAGAGTTTGGATCACACGCATATGCAGGGGTGGGCAAAAGTAAGTTTACAGTGTGCATGCATGCAAAACAGAGTTTATTCCTGTAGAATTGATTAATTATATTACTTTCCATATGAACAGATATAAACCTACTTTTGTCAACCCCTATGTAATATGAGCATAATGAAACCTAATTATATGTTCTTTAATAAGTTCTTTTGTTATTACCTATGCGTTTTTAATCAAAGATGATTAATGTCCTTTCTCCTGAGGTTTTCATGGCACCCTTTCATTTTCAAAATGTAATCCCTATTCCACACAAGGAATTTTAAACCGGATTCCTGGCTGCCACTACAAACTGCATTTGTTTTCACTAACTTTGGAATGATCAGAAACAAGACATTATAAAAACATTCAAGTCTAAAAGCATTCTACATAAACTAACATTCTGCCCTGACCAGTGTGGCTCAGTTGGTTGAGCATTGTCTCACAAAGCGAAAGGCTGCCGATTTGATTCCTGGTCAGGGCACACACCTGGGTTGTGGGTTTGGTCTGGGGGCGCAGGTGGACAGTAGGAGAGGTAACCAGTCAATGTTCTTTCTTACAGCAATGTTTCGCTGGTTCTTTTTCTCCCTCCTTCCCCCCTCTCTAAAAATAAATAAAATCTTTAAAAAATAAAAATGACATTTTTTTCTTACCAGAGTCTGGCAAAGAATTGAGATCTGCACACAACACTAGTGGAATATTTCCAAATTCTCCCAATACACTGGACTGGAGGCTTCGTGAGGCTTTATCAATAATGTTTTTCACTTCCGAGAGAAACATCATCGTCTGCACTAACTTCACATCCGAGTACTCAGGGTCCCAGTGCATATGAGCATTAGCCACGAGAATGAGTTGTCTCTCTGTTCCCAGATGCGGCTTTCCAGCTGCAGCAGATACAAAGAAAATGGACAGAACCTGTCTGTGAGCGCACACGATCTCCGAGTCTGAAAGCAAGGAGTATCTCCTTGGAGTCTTAGGGGCAAAAAAGGACCCTAAAATTTACCTAACAATCTCTCACCTGATGACTGAGCCTACCCTACAACAAACCGGAGAAACAGACATTGAAACTTCAGCGTGTGTACTTTCAGCAATGAGTATGCATTACTTAATCAAAGACAGCTCATTCTATCTGGGACACCTTGTTTTTGTTTTTAAATAGTGGTGTCTCCTCGAAGCCTCTGATCTCAGCTTAGACGTACTCCACTGACCCTCAAAAAATGAGACCTACATTCCTTTCGTCAGCTATATTTAGGATGGCCACGACATTCCATCCTTCATCCTTCTATCCTCCAGGTTAAATGGCCCCAGTGCCAACTGTTCCCTGGGTAACAAAAATTTCACTTCTCAGCATGATGATCACTCTAAATTACCCTTTGTCATTTGAAGTAAGTGGCTGATTTCTCCAAAACTTGAGACCTTTCAAATAATGCTTACAAGTAGGTCAGGAAGACAAGTTAGCTTACAGAATATCCTCGCTGCCAAGAAATTATAGAAAGTACATGGAGTTCTCTCTGAGAAGTTATTTTAACAAATTACTACTTCAACCTTTCTTTGATGTGAAAAACCCTTGGGAACAAAAGAAGTGTTTTTTAATTTGGCTTTATGCCTTTCAAGGTTTGAAATACTTTTCTTGGCAATGATTTCTCATCTTCAGCTTTTTGGCAGAGAAAATGGGACACGGTATTTAGGAAAGATTTATATTCTCACTGAGTTTCTTCAGGTGTTAGACAACACTATTATTACACGACGATCATGTAATAATAGTGTTATTTTTTCCTATCCAGTCTCGGAGGTCAGTCTCACAGGCAGTGAAAAGGCCACTCACACGACATCCCAAGCAGCTCGCCCCGCAGCTCCAGCAGCACGGCGACCCCGATGTTGTCCTTCGTCATGACTCTGTTCAGCATGGCCTCCGATCCTTCTGAGTTCGCCATCGCCAGCTGGTTGAACTCCACAGTGTGTTTCTGAACCAAAGTAAATCTAAAACAAGACACACACACACACACACACACACACACACGAAACCCAGGATTTTAGCTTTGTGACAAATGCAGATTTTGCAAATTTCCTTAACAGATATATAATGGCATGTACATCACATTATAGAAAATCGACATCCCATACCCGTTTAAAGTTCTTCTCAGTCTGTTACTGATACAAATAACATCTTGATTTCAATTTTTACAACTTAATGTGTCATCTTCTGTTTAGGTTTTGTGTTGGAATACTTCATCTTGTAATTTTTAAACTTTCTTTTCCCAAGTATGGGTCTAAGAACCCCTCCACAACCCTGGAGGCACGGTGTTTCAATTAACGACTGGAGTGAAATCCCAGCAAACAACTTAAGAAACAGCAGTACTTCCAATGTGTCTCCAAAACAAGATTACTTCTGATGATTCCAAACAAAAAGTATTGTTTAAGTCAGAAGTATTGTTTTCTTAAGTGATAATATAATGTTTCATTCTCTTACTTTCCAACTAATTTCCATACTCTTGGTCCCCACCTTGCGAGGAAAATTTTCTGCTTTAAAAATTAAATGACTTACTTTTCTGTCTTAAAGAATATTGCACAGCCGTCAACATGCTTTCTTTCTTGTTCTGACATTGTCCTGGCTCTAGATTTAGGACTAAAGAATCCATTATAGCCACGTTCTTTCAGTTCTACCAGAAAAAAACTATAATACTGTTCTGTTTCAACCTCCTGAAAAATTGTAAACAGCAAAGTTATTTCAAAAGACAAAATCAGTCACATGTATTAACTTTATACAGGTGGAGACTTAAAATCATTTCAAAATACTGATCTGCAGTGTTAAGAATGAAGTACTATCTTCTCAATTTAATTTATCTGAAACCAATCAGAATACCTACTTGTCCACTTGACAGATACCAGATGACAAAGTCAATCTTTGTTGTTTAGGAGTAAAGATCGAACAGACATACATCTTTATGTATGTACATTTCCTTCTACTTTAGGGGTGATGCAGAACAAGAATCAGAGAAGCAGAAGGAACTTCACAGATGCTAACTTCAGGCCACCGGGAGAGAGGGACTGTGGTGAGGTTGGTTAGTTATGAGATGTCAGTTATGATATAGACTAAGAACCCAAAGTTACTGTGCACCCAGGCTTAATGCTCTTTCCACTTCGCCCTGATTATTGCATTATCACTGGTAATAAAACAAAATCATCTCCACAACGTCACAATTTCAGTAACACTGCCACCCACCTCAAAAACAGTGTGTAGGGGCATTAGGGAGGGAAAGGTGAGTACTTAGCTGTCATAGCAAATGCTTAAAACCCAGCTTAACCCATCTGCTTAATTTGGCAACACAGTGCTACAGAACAAGGCAGGCAGGGAATGCTCACAGGATTCACTGAAAACAGAAAAAACCACTATTTTAAGAACTGCTGCCCTGGATGGTGTGGCTCAGGGGGCTGAGCCCTGGACTGCCAGCCAAAGGGTCGCCAGATTGATTCCTGGTCAGGGCACATGCCTGCAATGCGGGGCAGGCCCCCCAGTTGGGGGCGTGCGACAGGCAATCGACCGATGTTTCTCTCCCTCTCTTTCTCCCTCCTTTCCCCTTTCTCTAAAAATATACAAAGTCTTATATATATATTTTTTAAGATTTTATTTATGTATTCATCTACAGAGGGGAAGGAGAGAGGGAGAGAAACATCAATGTTTGGTTGCCTTTCCTGCATCCCCTGCTGGCAACTGGCCTGCTGGGAAGCAGCCTGCACCCCAGGCATGTGCCCTGGCTGGGAATCGAACCGCAATCCTCTGGTTCGCAGGCCTGTGCTCAATCCACTAAGCTACACCAGCCAGGGCCAAAGTCTTTTAAAAAAGAAAAAGAATTGCTAAAGGCAGGACTTCAAATGAATGTATCAATGCAATTCATTTCCAGGTTGCTCCTTGCTTTAATCAACGTTGGGGCATTTGTGCAATTTAAACAAATACTCTTATGATGACTTACCTGAAGACTTATGATGTCAGCATTGCAGCTCAAAATTTCTTGAATAATGGCCTTTTTCCTATAATCCCAACTTAGTGCCCATGATGGACAGTAGCCGTATAATTGGCGGGTCGCATATTTATCACAAAGAACGTTATAGCACATGACAGAAAACAAAGCTGTAGGAAAGATAACTTTACTTATTAAACAGTGGCAGAAAAAAAAAGCACACAATTACTTTTCAACAGTGTTCACTTAAATGCTAAATTTGAATTTATTCATTCAATACATATTCACTGAAAACCTACCCTATGCCAGACACGGTGGATATAAATACAGTCGTGTGAGGAAGGACAGACACACGAACATATTAGGAAACAGTGTGTTACCTGCCAGGGGTACATACGAAAGGTTCGAAAGCTAAGACACTAAGATCTCGAGCCCTCAGCCTCTAAGCCCAGGGCTCCTCATTTCTGTGCTCACTCCACCACTTCATCCACCATTCACACGGAATGTGGAAATCTGACAGGTATGTTTTGCTCAATGGATAAAGGGTAAGAGCACCACAGACCAAATCTTGTTATACCTATCACACAAGCTCCCAAACTATTTCCGTACAATTTAAGTTAAAAGGAGATTAAAGGTCTTAATTCAATCTCTCTCTTAATTAAGTGCTGTGGCTGTCCTACAATTCTGCAGTATCAAATACATTTGGAACCTACTAGGGTTTAGAAACTTCCAATATAAGAAGATTTTTGTACAGTCATCATAACTGAATTTGATCAATACTTGACTGGTTTCTCCGCAAAGGCACCTCCGCCATCGTGGGTGGGTAAACTGTGCTATGGGGGTTATGTTGTGCACTGAGGTGCTCCGGAGCATCACTTCCCCAGCTGTGACACTCAAAATGCTCCCAGATATTGCCAAATGTCCCCTGGGGACAGTCACCTCCGGTTGAGAGGCCAGGTGAGTAGGAATTAAGTCTTCATTATTATCTCCCCAACAGATGGACTGTGAGCGTCCCACTGTTAACACTAACCATCATCTAAAAGCACGCCAACAGTATTGTTAGGTTTATAAAGATCAAGCAAAAAAGTAAAAAAAAAAAAAAAAAAGGCTACCAACCAGTAGGCCTTGTTCTGTCTGGTTCTTGTAACATAATCCAAGATCTTGGAGGTGGTTGTTCCGTTGAAACTAGTTGAATATAAAACACAAAATTAAGCAATATTCTTACATGTCTTCCTAAAAACATGGTTTAAACAAGTGACCACTTACTTCTTTTTGCAGTACCTGCCAAATTATCAAGCAAATAGTTTAGTAGCCTTTTTGTTCCATCTGGTTCCAGATAGAGGTTCAATATATCCTGGGTAAGTGGATTTCCTGGAAATATTTTTAAAATAGGTAAAATGAAACCAAGTACTAAAATATTTCAAAATTGAAAAATACACCCAAATCATCAAATAATTCATAACAATGCATAGTTACTAGTAACATACTAGGGAAAATATTTTTTCTGTTTTTGATGTGAAGAGTGATAATGATTTACACTATGTTCTACAGAGTATCCATTCAAAAACGATTATTGCTGGGTGATGCCAATGTGGGAGAGAGCCCCTGGCGCCCTGCCTCAGCACTCTCAGTGACCAAAGTGAGCAAACACCGACTGGGGAGGAGCAGAGAGGAGGACTGGGCACAATAAAGGTAATGGCCAGTGGAGTAAGTCAGAGAATCTAAATTCAGGAACACAACAAAGCTAACAAGAAGACTTCCTAAATAACAAATATAGTCCAGCACCTAGTCTTTAAAAAGTTCTACTGAACAGAGGAAGCAGACTTGGTTTAAGAATAAGTCACTAAAGAAGGGGAAAAACCCAGGGCTGTGACCCACCTATAAATCCAGTGACTGTTTCTTAATTGCCAAAAGTGAAAGTAAAAGAAATGATTGACATGTATGAGTCCCAATCCGCTCAGAAGAACGTCTCACGCACATGAGACAAAACACCACACTGCACTGTTTACTGTAGCGCCTATTTGCACCACACAGGTGGTGCCTTAGTTCGACTTAAAGACTAGTAAGTTCTACAGATTGAAGGCAGCTGAAATGACAAAACATCTTAACCATGCTAAATGAAAACCAACAACAACAAAAGGATGTGGACCAGCAGAATGAGCACAGCCCAGAGAGAAAAGGTCTTCGCTTTCTCTTCTTTTGTGAAAGACTGGACTCCAGTAGCAGAATGAGGACCAAGGGAAAGGACCTAACAGAAAGCCAGCTTGGAACAGAGGAGGCTGGCAAACACGGAGCTTTGTGAGATGAAGTGCCCTGCTCCGTGAGTAGCAGAGTGGCCTTTGCACAGCTGAATTACATGGAAGGGGAAAAGGTTCTGAGAATTACGAAGGTACGAACGTGCTGCTGCAGGTGCAGAGCCCGTCTCTGCAGGAAGACAGTTGCAGAAGCCCCACACCTCACATGTGCACAGTCCCTCACAGCTACGAAAGCCCCGAGACTCTCATGTAGTCCCAGTGCTGTGAGGCAGGCACAGCTGCGACCTGCGAGTTCAGAGGACCACCTGTTCAAGAGAGCTTGAAAAATGAAGTCAACTACAAACTTCTCAGTACCAGGTTTGCAGCCCACTCTAACCAGACCTGTGTCAATGTTCTTTTCACTACTCTCTCATGCAAAAATATTTAGAGGCGACTGATTACTTACGACTATGTGACCCTCCCTTCTAAGACCTTTCTTTATGAATTAAAAACCACCCCCCAACACCTGTATCTATTTATGACTATAAATACAGCCAAAGCCAGAGTATTTCCCCCAACGTCTGCCTGCTTTTTGGGATTCCTTTAAATTTAAAATTAATCTGCCCTTCATTGCATAGAAAAATAAAATACTGGGGTGGGAAAAAGGAGGTTTACAGTTGTAACACAAATAAATACAAACACATTAATAATAATATAAAAATAAACTTGCATACTTACAACTGTAAACCTACTTGTGCACACCCATGCAAACAGGATAAAGTTAATGACAACACAATTCTGAAACTGAAACATGACCTTGAAGTGAATGACAGAAGTCACTTGTGGAAGGATAGAGTAAGTTTTCCCGATTCCTCTCACTAAACATAAATAAAATCCCTGGACCTCATGTGTAAGCAGATGTTAAGAGCCTGAAATGCAGTGAGGAGGTGGAGTAGCTAAAGACCCCAGGTCCTGAGGAACATCATAGTGATGAATTCCCTGGGTTTAACTTTTGCCTCAATGTCCCAGACACAGGAGCTGAGGAAGCTAGCAACATCTAAATACCAATGAGTGCAGAAAAAAAAATGCTAACAAGCCCTGGCTGGTGTAGCTCAGTGGATTAAGCATGGGCCTGTGAAGCAAAGCAACCACACATTGATATTTCTCTCCCACTTTCTCCTTCCCTTCCCCTTCTCTAAAAATAAATAAATATTTTTTTAAATGCCAATAAAAGCCAAAGGACTGCCTAACAAGACAAAACTTTTAGGTAGTAACAGCTCTGCTCCAGCTAAACACCAAGAAACACAAGTGCCTTTGTTAGCAAAGGCTAACAATCAGGAGACCTAGACCTCCCCCTTGTGGGGAGTTGAGGGGGGTCCAATATCCCTAGCAAGGTGGTAGCACCGGAGAAGGCCTAAGAGGGAGCTGGGACTTCTGTCCCCTCTGGGCAGCAGGACCTCCTCCTCCCCCCTCATCCTGTGGTGTCAGCAGACAGCAAAAGCAGAGCCTTGACTTCCACCTCGACCCCTCATAGGAGGTGGCTCTCCACATCCCTTCTGGGAATGATGTCAGAGGAGGCCAAGGACAGTCAAGGCTGTTACCACCTCCCAGCAATCATGAGGTCAACTTCCATGCGGTCACTGTGGAGACACACAGAAAGCCAAAACTGCCACCTTCATCCAGCTGACCTTCAAGGGGAACCTGAACTCTGACCTCCCTTGGCAGTGAGGAGATCGTGCCCTGCACTTTCCCTGTTAGAGACAGTCAGCAAAACCAGTCCACTTAAATAATGCAACATAATACAATTATATCCAGTTTCAAGTGAAAATCACTAATATCAAGAACCAGGGAAGACTTCAAACAAAATGAAAAAAAGGATAAAAATTCCAACACTGAGATGACAGAACATAGAACGACCTAATCAAACCAGAGCAAGCATGGTAAAAATGCTTCAATGAGACATTACAAGCATGCTTGAGATAAATGAACACACACACACACACACACACACACACACACACACACACACCCCAGAAAGCCTCAGCAAAGAAAAAGAAAAATTTAACAGACAAAACATTAAAAAAATGAAAATATTAAAACTGAAAGAAAAAAAAAACCCTCAAGGTCATGGAAGCAAAGGACAAAGAACATGAGACTGAAAAAGTACTCTAAGAAAGAATGGCTGAAAACTCCTCAAATACACCAAAACAGGACAAACCTAAAGGAGTCCACACCAAGCCACATCATAATTAAACGTTTGAAAACTAAAGACAAATTAAAAATTTTGATGACAGAGAAAAAGAGACCTTACCTATAATAGGGAGAAAACAATTTGAATAGCAGCTGATTTATCACCACAAACTATGTTGGCCAGAAGAAAGTGGCACGATATTTTTCAAGTGCTGAAAGAAAAGAACTGTCAACCCAGAATCCTATACCCGGTGAAAATATCCTTTAGGGACAAAGCAAAAAAATAAAATAAAAATAAAGACATTTCCAGATGACAATAAAACCAAGAGAATCTGTTGCCAGTAGACCTACCCTAATAGGACCATTAATGGAAATTCTCTGAATAGAAAGTAAATGATAAAAGGAACCCTGAAACATTAGGAAGAGAGATAAAAGAACATGGTTATAAAAGGGGCGGGGTGGCAAATATAACAAATAGGCTTTACTTATATTAAATTTTCTAAATCATTGTTGGTAGTTAAAATTTATTTGTAACACTCATTTGTTTCTAAGTGTATGGAAAGAAAACATTTCAGACAAGAGTATCATAAATAGCAGGGAAATATTACAGAAGGTCATAAAGACAGTTAAGGTTTCTATACTTCAAAGTAGCAATAACTCCAGCAGACTATAATAAGGTGTGTGTGTGTGTGTGTGTGTGTGTGTGTGTGTATATATATATATATATATATATATATATATATATAGCAATACCTTAAGGCAACTACTAGAAAAAGATATATAAATAGGTATTTCGAACACATTATAGACAAACAAAATGGAAATTTAAAGGATATTTAAATAATCCACAGGAAGGTAAAAAACAAAATGAAACACAAAAAGAGAGAACTAGAAAACTAGACAAAAGTCCTAACATATCAATAATTACATTAAGTGTAAGTCCTCTAAATATATCAATTATAAAAGACCAGCAGAGTGGATTTAAAAACATAACCTGACTATATTCTGTCCATAAGAAACTTACTTCAAGTACAGTAATATAAATGAGCCGAAACGAAAAAAAAAAAAAAGGAAAAAATATATAAATCAACAAGAAAAGATATGTCATACAAATATTAATTTAAAAAGGTGCTAGTGGTTACGTCAATATAAAAAGTGGATTTCAGAGGAAGTAAAATTCCAGCGACAGAGTACCACGTAATTTTAAAAGAAGACATAGCAATTCTAAAAGTGTATGGTGTTCACCAAACAGAACTACAAAATATTTTAGACAAAAACCGACAACTAAAAGGACAGTTATAATTTTGGATTTTTTCTAGCCCTCTCTAAATGACTGACAGAACTAAACAAAAAAGTCCACAATGCCATTCCATCCATTAAGAGGCAAATACACATTCTTGTCCAGTGTCAAGGGACAAACACTAGGATAGACCATACCCTGGGCCATAAATTAACAGAACTAAAATGACATTGAATATATTCTTCAACCACAACAGAATCACACTGAAAACTAAAAATTCTAAATAATCCATGGATCAAAAGGAAATTCTCACGGGAAATTTTAAAATGCACTGAGCTACTGAAAATAAAAATATATCAAAATTTGTGGCTGGATACAGCTAAAGCAGTACTAAAAGGGAAATGTATAGCATCGAAATGCATATATTAGAATATAAAAAGTCCCAATTCAATAATCCAAACTCCCATCCTAAGAACCAGGGGCAAAAAAGCAAAATGAACCCAAAGCAAAAGGAAGGATGAAAACCCTAAGGAGCAGAAATTAATGATGTTGAAAACAGAAAAAGGAGAAAAAAAATTTAAGCCATTTCTTTGAAAAGATCGATAAAACCAACAAACCTGTACCAAGACTGACCAAGAACAAAAGTGGGGACAAAATTTACTAACATCAAAAATGAAACACGGTATCACTACTGGCCTTACAGAAATCAAATAAAGGAATACAATGAACAACTCTACATAAATTTTACAACAGAGAAAATGGGCCACTTTCCTGAAAAACACAAACTGTCACCACTCACCCAACAAGATAATTTAAAAAGTCCTTTACCTATTTTTTTAAAATTATTTATTTATCTATCTATCTAGAGGAGAGGGAGAGAAACATCAATGTATGGTTGCCTTTCATGCATCCCCTGCTGGGAACTGGCCTGCAGGGGACTGGCCTGCAACCCAGACATATGCCCTGACTGGGAATCGAACTGCGATCCTCTGGTTCATAGGCCTGTCCTCAATCCACTGAGCTACACCAGCCAGGGCCTTCCTTTACCTATTAAAAAAATAAATAACTGCCAGAAATCTCCAGGCCCAGATTGTTATACTGGAAAATTCCACCAAACATTAAAAGAAGAATTAACAATTCTACAGAATCTCTTCCAGTAAGAAAATGAGGGAACACTTAGAAATCCATTCATAAAGCTAATATTAGCATACAAAAGTTGGCAATGAATAAAAAGAATTATACAGCATGACTAAGTAGGGTTTATTATTCCAGGAGTGAAAGGCTGGTTCAATATTTGAAAACCAATTACCAGACTAAAGAAGAAAAGTCACATCATCATACCATCTAATGCAAATGAACACCCATGATTAAAAACTCTCAGAAACAAAGAAATAGAGGAAACTTTCTTGAGAAAGAGAATCTACAAAATACCTATTGCTAACATTATACTTACTAGTGAAAACAAAAGTTTCTAAGTTTGGGACAACGAAGGGATGTCTGCTGTCACAACTCTCATTCAACAGAGTGCTAGAAGTTCTAGTCAGTGCAATAAGGCAAGAAAAAGAAAACATACTGTAAAGGAACAACAAAATTTAAAGTACAGTATCATTTAGAATCACTAAAAAGAAAACTCACAGAAAAACTTAGATGTAAACATAACAAAACATTTATAGGACTTACATACCAAAACTGCACAATGATGAAAAAAGGTAAGAGCTAAATACACAGGGAGACATGCATGTTCAAGAACTAGAAGACTGAGCATAGTAGCCCTGGCTGGTGTAGCTCAGTGGATTGAGCGCAGGCCTGCGAACCAAAGGATTGCAGTTCGATTCCCAGTCAGGGCACATGCTTGGGATGCAGGCCCAGTTCCCAGCAGGGGACACACAAGAGGCAACCATACATTGATATTTCTCTCCCTCTCTCCTTCCCTTCCCCTCTAAAGATAAATAAAATCTTAAAAAAAAAAAAAAAGACTGAGCATAGTAAACATGTTCATTCTCCACTATTTGATATGCAGGTTTAATATAATTCCAATCAGAATCCCAGGAAACATAGACAAGATTATTCTCAACGATATAAAGAAAGACAGAAGAACTAGAACAGCTGAAATCATCTGGAGAAAGAAGACTGTTCAGCTGTGCACCACATAATGACGAGACCTGTTCCAAGAGACATGTCCCTAGATGATTCTGTCACTGTGCAAGCATCCTAGTGTGTACTTCTTGCACAAGCCTAGACAGTACAGCCAGCCACAGACAGAGGTATATGGTAAACCACCATTGCGTATGATGATGTGTTCCATCATCAACTGAAACATCATCATGTGATGCGTGCCAGCAGTGGAGGAAGTGGACTATCCCACATGAAGACACTGTTTCAAGATGTACTACCCCATCTCAAGTTTCAAGGAACTATGAGGCATTCATTTGCAGAGGGACACACACACACAACTCAATGGAGCAGAATAGAGAACCCAGGAATAGATCCACACAGATATGTCCAACTGATTTTTCAAAAAGCCGCAAAAGCAAAACCAATTCAATTGAGGACAGATTTTTTTCACAGATGGTGCTGGAGAAACTGAACATCCATCCACAGGCTAGGAGGGAAAAAGCACCTTGACATACAACTCACTCCTTTCAACTTAATTTTAACTCAAAATGGATCACAGACTTAAATGCAAAGCATAACACCATAAAACTTAATACAAAACATAGACTCTTTGGGATCTAGAGCTATTCAAAGAGTTCTCAGACTTGATACCCAAAGCAGGATTGATAAAAGAAAAAATTACTAAACTGGACTTCCTTGAAATTTTTTGTTGTGTAAAAGATTGTGTCAAACTGTTATTTTATAGTAAGAAATATACAAGAGACGGGGGAGCAGATTTACAATTGTGAGTACACAAAACAGACTTTATTCCTTTATTATCTATTAATGATTGTACCATGGTCCATGTGAACTGTAAACCTACTTTTACCCACCCCATCTATCTTCCTCCAATGTTCCTGGCACAAAGCTCCTAAAACTTTTGAAATTTCCTATGTAATTCTATAATGTTCTACTTCTTTCGTAATGAAAAACTGACAAAATATTAATAGTTAATTCTGGTGGTCAGGGTATGGGTATACTTTACATGTTATGTTCTTATTTATCACATTTAAAAAGCAAATTTTTTCCATTTCATTTATTTTTGTGTCACTTATATGACAAACATAGGCATAAAACCTCATTTTAAACTGTATTTTTTAAGAAATAAAGAGTGCAGGACTTCCACAAAGATGGAGGTGTAGGTGGCAGCACTGCACCTTCTCGCACAACCAAGTTTAAAAACAACAAAGTTTTAGCAACAAAAACGCAGCCAAACCACAGAAAATTGAACTACACGGAAGTTTGACAACGACGAACCCTTCAGCCAAACTGGTAAGAGGGGCAGAGCCAGCAGCAGAGTGGGGTTGGGAAGGAAAGATCCACCAGACCGACGGGGGGGGGGTGCAACCCAGGTGCGCCAGCAGCCGTGGGCGGATCCCAGGTGTGGAGTAGCGGGCAGACCCACTGAGGGCTGACTGTGGCCACACATTCACGTGCAGATAAACCAGTGAAGGAGCGAGCAGTGAGACGGACCACACAGGCCCCAGCGGAAGAAAGCAGCAGAGGAAACTGCCATTGTTCCTCTCTGACCCCGCCGCCACATACAGCGTCACAAACCAGCGACCTGGGTGGCCCTGCCCTGGTGAACAACTAAGGCTCCGCTCCTTATATGTTACAGGCATGAACAGATCAAAACATGGCTCAAGAACAACTCAGAGCCCCAGAGCCTATAAATCTAAGTGATGAAGAAATAGCCAAACTTTCAGAAGCACAGTTCAAAATACTGGTAATCAGGATGCTCACAGAACTGGCTGATTTTAGTCACAAATTAGAGGAACATCTGAAGGCTAAACTAATTGAAATGAACGGAAATGCACGGGAAACCAATAGTAATGGAAAGGAAACGGGGACTCAAATCAAAGGAGTGGACCAGAAGGAGGAAAAAAATGACCAAACAGAAAAGGATGAAGAAACAAGAATTCAAAAAAATGAGGAAAGGCTTAGGAACCTTCAGGACATCTTTAAACATTCCAACATCCAAATTATAGGGGTACCAGAAGGGGAAGAGGAACAGCCACCAGTGGAAAACTTATTTGAACAAATAATAAAGGAGAATCTCCTCAATCTGGCAAAGGAAATAGACTTCCAGGAAATCCAGGAAGCTCAGAGAGTCCCAAAGAAGTTGGACCCAAGAAGGAACACACCAAGGCACATCATCATCACATTAGCCAAGATTAAAATGAAGGAGAGAATTCTAGAAGCAGCAAGAGATAAGGGGACAGTCACCTACAAAGGAGTTCCCATCAGACTGTCAGCTGATTTCTCAAAAGAGACCTTACAGGCAAGAAGGGGCTGGAAAGAAGTATTCCAAGTCATGAAATCCAAAGACTACATCCAAGATTGATCTATCCAGCAAAGCTTTCATTTAGAATGGAAGGGCAGATAAAAGTGCTTCTCAGATAAGATCAAATTCAAGGAGTTCATCATCACCAAGCCCTTATTATATGAAATGTTAAAGGGACTTACCTAAGAAAAAGAAGATAAAAAAGAGGAACAGTGAAAGGACAGCAAACTCACAGTTATTAACAACCCCACGTAAAACAAAAGCAAACTAAGAGGACAGCTAGATCAGGAGCAGAACCATAGAAATGAAGATCACATGGAGGGTTAGCAACAGGGGAGTGGGAAGGAGGAGAAGGGGGGAGAAGGTACAGAGAATAAGTAGCATAGACAATAGGTAGAAAATAGATAGGGGGAGGGCAAGAATAGTATAGGAAATATAGAATCTAAAGAACTTGAGACATGTGGTCATAAACTAAAGGGGGGAATGGTGGGGGAGGGGTGTGCAGGGTGGAGGGGAATGAAGGGGGGAAATAGAACAATTGTAATGGCATAATTAATAAAATATATTTTAAAAAAAGAAATAAAGAGTGCAATTTGTGAAGACTTCATTATGTGACTTCTAAAAGTAATCAATCATGAAGTAAGCTACAAGACTGGTGAAGAAATAAAGAAAATATTTGTAAGTGTTCACATACTATAATGTAACTTTTAATCTTGATGGTTTAAAAAATATACTTCCCAACAGTTCTTACTGGATCAAATGCTAATATATTAGGGAAGTCCTAATAAATCAAGTTTTAAAAAAAATGCTCAAATACTTCATTAACAGGTCCAAATTCTCTATTTACTGTTTTCTATACTTTGTGCAAATTGCCATTTTCTAAGATTTGAACATAAGAAAGCCACATGATGACATAAGCAAAGTGTAACCACCGGAACATATCAGAACAGAGGCAATTGAAACAAGGGCTAGAGCAGCGGAGCCAGACCAGGAGGAAAACGGCACGAAGCCTAGCAGACAGTTTACAGGTGGACAAGGAAGAAAAGCACGCGATGTACCTAAGAAGTTAATGAAGTGTGGGGAAGAGTTAGCTTATACATCCCCAGGTAAAAGGATTCCCTCTTATGGCTTCTTCAGACTCAAAGACATACATACAAACCAAAGGAGGCATAAATATGGGAAGTTGTACCTTTCAGGCCCAAAGTCTGCAACTGGAACAGTTTCCCCAGCTCAAAAGGTAGAACTCGTAACAGGTTGTTATTTAAATGGAGTTCCCTGTTGATGTAAAAGTTCCAGAAAGTCAGAAGATAAATTAACCTTTAACTAACAGCTAACACCAACAATATAATTTCTGGAAATGTAAGACCCCAAAATTAGCAAAATTTTATATTATCTTCCAATGTCTAGTATAGTGCCTCTCAGATCATATATGGTAAAAACACACACAATCCCCCACCCCAAACTTCTATAAATAATACATTTGTAAAAATATAGGGAAACAATGAGTTGCTAGAAAAATGAAATGAGGGAGAAAAAAAGACCAACAAAATACAAGCCTGAATTTTTTAAGGGTATTCGATCCAAGAAACACACAACCTCCCCCACAGGCGGTGTGTCAGAGGGCGCCCTGGCAGTCCGCAGGCGCCCCCGAGAGCACAGCTCCCACCCAGGGGCGTCTGCTGGGGGACACACTGAAGAAAGTGAAAATGATAGACCAGCCCAGTGTGCATTGTTAAACGAGAATGAAAACAATCATGTAATACCAACTGGAAACAGCTACTGATAGTGGCACGCTGAACTTATGATTAACACTTCAAAATCACCGAAGTTTCACTTCAGAAGTAATGGCAGCTATATTAACTACTAATGGTGATTATAATGATTTGTTTTGTACAGATAACCATAAAATAAATATCAAAGGACTCTTCAATAGGGGGGAAAATCCCCACAAAGACCCAGCACTGAGGTACTGGCAACTTCCTTCAAGTTTTATTCATCAATTTTTATTTGTGAATAAGAACTATTTTTATAATTCTTGGTTCTTAGAATTTAAATAAACTTTGATTACTAGTGAGTAAACAGAGGTTGGTAAGGTCATAAAATAAATAAGAAGAAGGTCCTTTAAGTAAATTTGGTTTGGGAGAAATGGTCATAATACATACTCAATGATTAAGCCTAAAAAATGTCAAAGGGCTGGACTAAGGAGAGCAATAGAGGTAAAGAAACCGTCACGAGGTCCATACTCCTTTTTACTGCATGGCCAAAAGACAGTGGGACTACTGAACACAGGCAGGTAACACGAAATGGGGCAAGATTTTCCACTGGGATTAGTGTAATAGCCAGAAATTGGACTTGAGCAGATCTCACCTACCTTATAAAACACAGGTAACAAAACAACAGTGATTCCATTTATTAAATACAATATGTGCCAGGCTGTTTGCTAGTTGGTTTCTAGTCATTATCTCAAATATCTTTCATCTCAGCCTTGGCAGGATAGGTGTTCTAGCAACTCTACAGATGAGGAAACAGTCGGTGAGGTTAAAAGCTTGCCCAAATCATACTCCTTATAAAGGGCAAAGTCAGGATTCACATCTGACCTCTGGGTGACTCTGCATCCCACCTGCCTCCTGCACTTCCACAGGACAGTCCCCAACTCAATGACTACCACTAGCTTTTTTCAGGTCCAGGCTTTATCACTATCATGCATAGAAGTCCTGGAATGCCCAAAAAGATTTCCCTAACTGGCCATGGTGCCCAGGACCCTGTGTTAAGGACAGCATTGTGCCCAATTTAGGGGGGAACGCACCACAACTGTCTGCCACATGTAAGTGCATATGTGGGGTTCACACGGGTGCCTTCTATTTAAGTCCACTTTCACCAAAAATTTTGATTCAAGAAAAAATATGTAACACAACCACGGCAGTAAAACAAATTTTAGGCAGTGCATCTACTTGAGTATTTCTTAGCTGACATTCAATTGTCTAGGAAACCTTTATATAAAGGATACAGTTATGTTTACTTTTGGTCAGATGCCATCGCACTGACAATGCCATTTCCTAACACAGTGAGTGCTCTGTCTCATTTTGGGGGCCGTGCAGCCAGGTACTGAGTTCAGTCTGCGCACCTGAGTGATACCATGTTTCCGAGTTCTGCTGGTAAACTCCGGATTTTGTTCGAGGACAGGTCCAGATACACCAGATTGTGAAGCTTGGCAATATCTGAAGGAATGCGGGACAGGAAATTGTCACTCAAATGCAAAGCTGTCAGGTGAGTTAACGACCACAAAGATGAGCTTAAGCTTCTTACTCTACCTGTAACAGAAGAAAAACAGGGCAAGGATTACAGTATTCTCTATCACTTGGCCCCTGGATCAAAGAATATCTAGGTGTTTTGATGAGTACTAATTTACCACACAAAAAATTACAAAAAAAAAAGGGTTAACAGGAGAAAACTTAACTGTTCTAGGATAATTCACGGCTACGATAAAGTCATAAACTCTATGCTTAGCAGAATGCAAAACCCCTTTAAGGCAATACATCCATATTTAGATTGTATCATTATTTTTAAGAGCACAATAGCTAAGACTTTTTAGTGGCTTCAGCTATGACAAGGGTGTCAAACTCATTTTCACCCGGGGCCACATCAGCCTCACAGCTGCCTTCAAAGGACCGAAAGTAATTTCAACTCCTTAACAGTTAAGGAGTAGTTACATTTATACAATCCTAAAATTATTTCAGCCCTTTGAAGGCAACTGTGAAGTTCATGGGGCCCCAGTGGAAATGAGTCTGACACCCTTGAGCTGACATTAAAAGAAAATGTACAAATAATTTATACAAATGATAAACCCACTATTTCAATATGGTCGATTTGGATTTATGCAAAAAAGAAAAGAATCACATCCAGCATCTCAGAGGCTGTTCCTGTCTAAACTCCAGAACAGGAATTATGTTGTTGCACAAGACATCCTCAGTTTAGCAGTTTTAAGGCCAGGTTACCCAAGTGATATAACTGCAACAAGAACCATGTAACTAAAATAATGAAGTGTAAAAATACTTGCCCAGAAACATTTCTGATATTCAGTCACAGCTACATAATCAAACAGTAGTAGACACAAGAGTCACTGACTAAGAACAGAATAATTTCTATCAATGCAATATTAAATCTACACTTGGACATATCATGACAAGACGCCAATCATTTCTACAATCTATCTAGGAACTTTCCCCATCATCTCTTTAAAGGTCTAGAACCTGCTCTGAGAGAAAAAGAAACACACAGATGCAATGAAAACATACCAGTCTTTGAGAACGGATCTCCTACTGGCAGAAAGCAATCTGAGACTTCCACTTTTAATCAGGACGAAGTGACAGAGACCAGACTCATGTGAATGACAGAACCAGACAACACACATGAACAAACACATCTCAGCCATCAGACTTCAGCCAGTGCAGGAGGGTGAGCCCTGATGGAGGGGAAATAATGTGGGCCCTACAGGGGTCTCAGCCGACTTCCTGACAGCCAGCACAGGGAGGAGGTCCCAGAGGAAACCCAGAGACTCCCCCACCCCCAACACCAAGTTCGGGAGACAGAGAAGGTCCAGGGAAACAAAGATGGACAAAGTTGACACAGGCAGAGGACCAGAGAGGACAGATAAAAAGACAGAGGGGTCAGGTGGTAAGTTTTCAACTGAGTACTGATCCACATATGTATGTGAGAAACTGCCTGAGACAGAAAGAAACACCCAAAAGGAGTATAGGCAACAATCCCCGACTCACACACAACTGAGGCTAGCTGGTGTTGCCAAATACCAAAGGGAAAAATCCTGTAACTCACTAGACTTTTAGTGGAACACAAATTAACTCTAGACTCAAGGTTACTCTCATCACTGCTAAGAAAGTTTAAGAGCAAGTCTCTAAAAGAATCAAACGGTTTCCAAGTAACTGTATCCCAAAACAAAGCTCAATACCAACTACAGGAGTTTAAAAATACATATCACCACACAAAGATAAAAATGCACAGTATCTGGAATCCAGTGAAAAATTACCAGGCACACAAAGAGACAGAGAGATAATATTCATAATGAAGAGAAAGAACAATCAAAACAAGCCTAGAAGAGAGGGCAACGACATCAGCAGCCAGACAGGTGAAGTTGCTGCAACTGCTCCACACGGTTGGAGACTAGACAACTGAGCATGCTCAGTAGACACAAGACAGCGTGTCCACCCAGACGGAACGCCTGGAGTTGAACACCGTTGTCTAAAATGAGGGTACAGCAACAGACCTATCCCAAATGAAACAAAGAAAGAAAACGCACTGGGAAAATTACATCAGTGAACTCCTGAACAACTTGAAAGAGTCGACTATACATATGTGTAACTAGAGTCCCCAAAACAGGGGTGGGTTAGGGACAAGACAAAAATCTTAAGAAATAAAGGCAAGAGTCAACTGGGTATCTACGTGCAAAAGAATGAAGATGGACCCCTACCTCATACCACATACAAAAATTAACTCAAAAACTCTTGGAAGAAAACAGGCGCGCGCACACGCGCGCACACACACACACACACACACACACAGAGAAAAGAAAAAAAGATATCACAGACATAAATCTTTGTGACTCAGGAATAGGCAAGGGCTTGTTAGATATAACACTGATAAAGCATGACCAACAAAAGATAAAACAGATAAATTGTACTTCATCAAAATTAAAACCCTTTGTGCCTCAAGAGACACCATTCATAAAGTAAACAGACAACCCAAAGAAAGGGAAAAAAATATTTGAAAATCATAAATCTGCTAGGACATTTGTATCCAGAATATATAAAGAACACTTACAACTTAGTAAGAAAAAGACAAACCAATTTAAAAATAAGCAAAGATCTTACAGAGCTCTCTGAAGATATACAAATGGCCAATAAGGCCATGAGAAAAATGCTCCGTCTCATCAGCCACTACGGAAATGCAAATCAAAATCACCATGCTATACTACTTTACATCCACTAGCATGACTATCATCAGAAAGTACCAGTAACACATATCAGCAAGCACGGAGAAACTAGAGTGCTGACGGATGGATGGGGGCGGTGGAAAGGGACGCAGCTTCGTGGGGAAAACAGGAGAGCAGTTCCTCAGGTTAAACACACAGCTACCACAGAGCCAGGAGTCCGCGCCGGGGTATGTGCCCAAAAAAGATGAAAACCTGTCCACACAAAAACTTACACATGAATGCTCACAGCAGAATTATTCTTAGGAGTCTAGAGGTGAAAACAAGCTAAATGTCCACTAACCAATTCATAAACCAATAAAATGTGGTATATCATCATACAACAGAATATTTATTATATAGTTACCAGGGGCTGGCCAGTTGAGAGGAAATGGAAAATGACTGTTCATGTGTGTAAAACTGCGTGAATAAACAAGAACCACTGAATGTACATTTTACAGGGAATTGCGTGAATTACATCTCAAGCTGTTACCAAAAAAGAGAGGTAGTGTAAGAGAAAAGACAGTGAACAAAACCTTTACTTGAAAAAAAAAAAAAAAATCCTGTCCACTTAGCAACCTAGCAAAAGTATCTTCCAATAATGAAGGCAGGTTACAAGACAACAAAAAGCTATGGAGATGAATGGTAGCAATGGATGCAAAACACTATGAATGTATTTGATTTCCCACAAAGAAAATTCTACAACCAGTTGGGTTCACTGGTGAATACTGCCAAACATTTAAGAAGAACTAATATCAAGTCTCCAAAAATTCATCCAGAAAACTGAAGACAGGAAGAGACTTTGCAACTCCTTCTATAAGGCCAACATCACCCTATTATTCAAACCAGGCAAAACTAGTACAAAAAACCTGTAACTCAATATCCCTCATAAACACAAATGCAAAATTTAACAAAATCTAATAAATCAAATCCAACAATATATTAAGATGGTAACTACCAAGGTAAGATTTGTGCCTGGACACAAATGATCAATGTTTTTCTCCCTCCCTTCCCCTCTCACTGAAAATAAATAAAATATAAAACAAAAACAAAGAAACAAAACAAAACAAAAAAGATGTGCCAGCAAATTCAAGGTTCTTTGAACATTCAAAAAAAAGTCATTCAAAATTTTTTTTCTTAGATAGGAAAATCATCTAAATAAACGCAGACAGGGCATTTAACAAAAATTAATACCCATTCCTGATTTAAAAAAAAAAACAAAAAACCTCTCAGTAAGCTAAGAATTTACGAGAACTTCCTCAATCTTGATAAAAGGATATCTACAAAAAGCTCAGTGGTGAAAGAACGGCTGCCTTCCCCTAAGATTGGAAACAAAGCAAGAACATGCATTCTCACTACTCTCATTCAACGTTATACTGGAGATTCTAGCCAGACAAGTGACAAGAAAAATTAAAAACTGAAAAGGTGGAAGAAGTAAAGCTATCTGTATTTGCAAATGGTACAACCACCCCTGTAAAAATCCTATGAAATCTATAAAAATACTACTAATAAGTGAGTTTAACAAGGTCATAGGGATAGATCAACATACAAATATATCTATTATATTTCTATATACTAGCCACGAATGATTAGAAATTAAAATTCCAAAATGGCAACATTTACAATACCATCAAATTTATAAACTACTTAGGGCAAATGTGACCAAAAAAAACAAAGTGCAGGACTTGTGCATTAATACTTGTTTTCCTTTTTTGCTATAACAGATTTTCTAAAGCCCTTCTAAGGGTAAGAGGTTCTACAAAACATGGGAAAGGTGAGAGCCTTTATAGTTTAAACTGCATATTTAACTCTTAAACTTGACTTTCTAAAATGGAAAAGAAAGAGATCACTTTATACTTCCTCCGACCCACTCATTACATTAAAAAGTATATGTCATCTCCAAGGAAGATAAACAAATGGCCAATAAAGACACACAAAGATACTTAACGTCATAAACCATCAAGGAAACACAAATCAAAACCACAATAAAATACTTCGTCACACCCACTAAGATGGCTAAATCAAAAAGTATTGTCAAGGACTCAAGAAATTGGAACCTTCATCCACACTGCTGTTTAGAAAATAAAACGATGCAGAAACTTTGGTTCAGAACAGGCAAAGCTTTAGAGGTAGAAAGGAAACTACTGGTTACCTAGAGCTGGAGGGTGGGGAAGGAACAGGGAATGATTGCTAAGGAATACAGAATTTCTTCTGGGGTGATAAAAATGTTTTAAAAGCAAGGTGATAATGGTTGTACAACTGAGTATAATAAAACCCACTGAACTGCAAACTTTAGTAAGTGAATTGTACAGTATGTAAATTATTTCT